CTCGCGACTTCGCGGGGTGGTAGGAGAGGTGTCCTCGCGACTTCGCGGGGTGGTAGGAGAGGTGTGTCCTCGTGACTTCGCGTGGTGGTTTAAATACTGAAATGTTTGGATTAGTTATGCTCTGTTAATTCAAATGTGTATGGTAAACTTCAAGTAAAGTGTACCGAGTGTATCAGAGCCGACAACGACCCCCTCCAAGCCTCCAACCACCACGTCGTCTGTTTGGAGTCCCTCTCGGTTATGTTGTGCAAACACTGCATTTTGATGTCTGCCGACGGAGCACTGTTCGGCAGTTGCTGGAGAATGGCAAATTCCGCCAAAGGCCAAAGTGCTCAACATCTGCTGCATTTCCGGGCCACCCGGGCCCCGCCTCGGGCTTTCAATGGCTAACGGCTGGTGCGTGATTGTTTTATGACGGACATGTCGACCCGCGCCGGCCTCCGGCCTGCGCAACCCCACGCCACGCCGCGCATCTCCACGCCGGCGGCGGCGGACCGGCTCAAACGTGTCCTAGTTCAGCGAGGACATCACATCACATCCACAGACCCCCATAAAACTCATGTGACAGCAGAGCATGCACGGACTTTAGGCCGCTGCCGACCATACCATAGGCAAAAATGCTCGAATGCAAAACAAAACGCATGCATTCTTTTAGTGGGGCAGGGGCAGGTACACCATGTAGCGGGTGATTCAGAAAAGACCCAGGAGCGGGCGGGTTTGCCGAACCGCTCTGTCCGTAAGGCGCCACAGCCCCTTTGGTAGGCAAACCCGCCCGCCCCTGCGTCTTCCCTGAATCATCCGGTACACATTTGAAATGACGGAAGGCACCAGGTACCCCCAGGGCAAGGGGCAGGGGGCGGGAGAGCGCGACAGCGAGTGAGAGCGTGGAGTCGGATGCCCTTTCCCTTCCCGCTCCCTTACCCTCGCGCTCGAAGTCCACGCTCTCGTGAGCGTGGATAAACTGAATAAAGCTCGGCAATCTCGGGGATGTTCACCGGTCCGTTCGTGATGTGAAGCAACGGATCGGAAGAAGGGAACAGTCGGCTTCGCGGCCAGAGGCCCCAATTGCGCCATACGCGCCACTTGAGGGTTGTCGCCGACTACGATGACAAATCGCCCTTTCGATGAAAGCATTTCGTTTGAGCTCCGATCGTCTGTTTTGTATGTGTTTGTTTCCGGTAATTGGCGAAGAACTGGAGACACACACACTTGAGGTCCAGAGGTAGGAGAGAATATGAGAAAGAAGGGAAATAATGGGAGAGAGACTGCTGGAAGAATAAGATGACTGCATTAAGCCATTGTTTGGCACGCGCGGGGGCACGGACCCGCCCCGCAAGGCATCGCCGCACTGTGTGGCAATGAGAGGCTGCCCGTCCCAGTAGAAAAAATATAACGCTGCCGGTATATTGTTATTTGCAAGTAATTTTGCATTCTTCTCGAATGTTATTTTTTTCTGTAGAGAAAATTCAGGGACGTGTGTCCACCAGCAAAATGCGTTTTTGAAACAATGCAAAGAAATGTTCTTCAAATTTTCTCAAGGACAAATCTGGCTTATTTCAAGAGCACAAATTAATGGGTGAAAACATGACTTGTTAACTCGCAACGGCGCAAGGCCACCGCAGACCACCCCGCGAAGTTGCGAGGACACCGCGGACCACCCCGCG